TGTCTTAGGTGACATCTGTGAAAAAAATTCAGGTACTCAGGCATGAAAATATGCCGCTCAAACACTATACTTTTCTGCTCACTGAAAAAAAATTAGAGGGAACATTGCTCCTCTGCAATCCTCCCTGTACTTCAAGGGCATTATTAAGACAAGTTTTTGCCACACATATGTTTGCACATTTATTTGCAAAGGTGGATGTTCCAAGGATTTCTGGAACGTTCTGCTTGTCTTCCATTTCAGAGATGTTCCAATGGTTTTCCAGAAGTAAATTCTCCATGATGGTGTTCAAATATATTCCAGATTAGTGTAACATAAAATGGAACCATTAATAGTTCATACACTAAGCCTGCCCTGGTCCATTAGACAAATAGAAATGATAAAAACTCCTAGTTCTTGGGTGAAAAAAAGCTTAGGAAATTTGATGGAATGTTTTACTCAGAGAAATTGGGCAGGGCCAATGTCAAGCCATTACAGAAAATATATCTAAGTCCTAGAAAATTATAAAGTGTGAGAAAGAAACACAACACAGCTGCACCTTGATTATATTAGGTATTAGCTGGATACCTGTGCTTCGCAATGAAACTATGTGATTGGGCAATGCAGGAGAAATCCGATTCACTCTGGTTCAATCCATTGGCTCAGTGGTGGTTGGTGATTGAAATGCATAAGGGAATATCACTCCTGCAACCTTGATTCCTGAAGCAGTTCCATAGGTGGAAAGCGTAGATAGTTTGGTGAAGTACTGACATTTATTACTGTAAGGAGCCCCAGACCGCTCCTGAGTGAAGGAGTGGAACATCTGCCAGTTTGAACTGAGGTAATAGAATGTGAAGCAATTGGTAGTTGGATCAGAGTTCTTTTCATGTGGGGAGGGGGAGTAGCATCAGAACGTGTTAATTACTGTATAAGAAATACTAATGATCTGATGGGTCATTTCAAAAAAATCCTTTCTTAGCAAGCACTTAAAAGCCAAGAGGAACATACATGCAAAATTTCAAGCTTGTAGGCTTTACGATTCTGGAGATTTCGTGATAATGTGTGAGTGGTATTTGGCTTATATAGATAGCTAGATAGCTAGACAGACAGACAGACAGACAAGGTGATGTAGAGAAGGTCTGACAGATTTCCAATATTCTGTTACAATATCCTAATATTCTGGGTGACTGGTTTCCTAAGATCACCTACCTCAAAGGGCTGACAAGGAAAAAGAGAATCAATTTAAGAACAGCAGGATAAGAGTGTACAATGGGCTTCTTTCTCCAGCTAATGGTGCCTCTGCTTCCCTTCTTTCTATGTTTCAGTCCTACTTTAGAACATATAACAAATGCCATGCAACTATGTGGCAAACAGAAATCATTTTTAAAGATTATTAAAAAAATAATCTCTCTTTCTTTTGCCAAAATGAAGGAAAAATTAATAGATAGCAGTTTCTCCTTATTAGCTGTTGTTTAAAAATGGCTTCCTTTAGTTCTGTAGCATTACAATCTTTTTTTTTTATGGGCAAGTAGAATTGGTATAAGTTCTCCTACTGAGCAGGGGTTTGGACTAGATGACCTACAACTCTGTTATTCCCTTCCAACTCTGTTATTCTGTATTCTGTAACTGTTCTGTGCCTAGCAGTCACACCTAAAATGTTTGAAAAGGCAAACAGTGAGGAAGCAAAGTTTTTATTCTTTCCCTAAATTTTGATAAGTCTCATGAACGTTTATCTGTCTATGTTTGTGTGTTTATGAAACAATATTAGGCTTATTTTGGGATTATGTGTTTTATGTGTTTCTGCTTCAAAACTGTAATATATCATTTGCTGAATTATGGCTTAGGATGGAAACACTATACGCATTTAATTTTCTATTGTGGAATCAGAATATAAACCAAGTCTTCATTTTAATCCAGCAAGAGCTATTTTAATTTTTATTAGCAAGTTAAGCAAGATTTTAAGCCGTACCCAACCAAATTGTCACAATCATGCAATCTTACTCTTATTAGTATTTAGCTAATCACCTGCTAGAATCTTTCATATAGCCTTGTTCTTTATATATTTTCCTAACTAGTCAACATATATTTTCTAAACACAGACATTTCCAAAATTGCAGAGCATAAAATGAAATGTTATTCAAATTAATTTTCACTGTATTTGCTACCTGCACTAAACTGCTTGCTTCTGCGAGGAGAATGAAGGTGGAGCTGATAGGGATCACTCGATCCATAGAGGTCAAAGCTTCCTATGCTCAGCAGTTTAGTCTTCTGCATAAAATCTACGACAACCAGACCACTGCAGTTTCCAAATGCAACTCTGTGAAAAGAAATGTGGTTTAAGTATTTTGGAGTTATCTCTTCCAAGTACTAAAACTGGACTAGGTTTCAAACAAAGAAGCATGTGATGGACCTCTGGGTGCTGGGACAGAGACTTTAACTTTCTTTTGGGTGGGGAAAATCGGGAAGCTTTCAAATTCGGGTTTATCATTTCATTTCATTTATCATTTTATTAAGCATTTATAGGCCGCCCTTTTCCCTGAGGGGACTCAGGGC